ATTCAGTCCATCTCGAATGCAACTGATTTTTTTCCCAATTTATTAGCTGCCTTACATGAAACAAGTCTGAGCAGCCCAGTCCCATTTCCCAGGTGATAAATGGGCTATTGCAAAAATTCCCCGTTTAGTGGGTGCTAAGTTTTGTTGGCTGTCTCACGGGAGAGGCCAAAGACTGTGGGAATGGGGAGAGAGGGCTGTGGTAAATTGGCAGGGCAGGGCAGGAGGAGGAAGCACGTCCGAATGCTGGTCTTGTGTAACAGTCTTTCCATTGACCAAGAATTTGGTTGCTAGGCTGCCAGTCCCCTTTTACAAGCAGCAGAGTCATGCTATTGTTTTCTAAATGGTTTCAATTTTATGCAGGGACTTCTTTACATCCTTTCTATATTATTTAAGTATTTTACTAGGCACGTATTAAAGTGAGAACTTTTGGAACTCAGACCCCTTCTCCACTCTGGCCAGTAAGCCAAAGAAAGCCTTTCTCTTTTATTCTGCCAAAAAGTGAGTATTTCAAGGGAACCGTGTGAAGAGTGGTCCCATGTCAGCCTTCCATCAGAGCATGCAGTAAGTACTCCTAAGAGAAGAGAGCTGTGTACTGAGAGAGTTCACAGGTAGAAACACAGACCTGCAACTTAAGTAGACACACCAGCAACTGAGCAGCAGAGCAGAGCAGGAGGAGCTGTGTGGAACAGCAGTACTTCATTGAATTTTAGCCCCTCAGCGGATGCACTGGAGATTTGAGATGATCATCCTTTAGATTTTGGCACCTGCAGTAAGGACAGAACAAGGCTTAGATGATACAGTTTGATGTAGTTCCTCTGTCAACAGAGGTGGCAGAAAGAGTTTGATGAATCCTCAGCAAACTTTGCTCCTGGAGAAAATGAGTGTAGAAAAACACTTCTCAACCTGTATGGCCTTTTGTGCTTCCCGATAAGTATTTCTAAGATGACCTGTTCATTAATCTGTCTCAATCAGTCCTACAGTTCAGTGGATCAACTGTTTGATAGCACTTGTTAACAGAAAAAACATCTTTATTTTCAGAGTAACCACAGTATCAACAGTACAAATATAAGCTTATCTTAGAGTTTAGGACAATTTAAGTAATGAAGAACTGTAAGGGAAGATGCATTTACTTTCTTAATTCTGCATCTAGACTTTTAAGAGCTTTTCTGGATATTTGCAGTTTTCTGGACTTACTCAAGTAATTTTCATTCTGTTGAAAGCTGTTGCAGTGTGTGGCCATCTCATGCCTGAATATTCTCTCTCATCAGCACACCTCCATAAAATAAAAATGGGCTTGAGAGAGGGCTTTATTGTGTCAAACACCATATTTCTTCAGCCAAAATGGATAAAACCTTTAGTCTGTGATGTACATACACCTTTACTTCCAGTTTGAAATCTCTTCCTTGTATTTGTCTCCTAGCTTACGATTTATGCTAAACTGTGTTGTGCTTTGGAGCAAGGAAGGGCCGTAAGTAGATATGGAAGTAGAAACAACTTGCCAGTATAGTTCTTCCTAGCTAGGAAGAGGAACCTCTCACACTTCTTTGCAGGTGTGTGTGTGTTGAAGTAGCCCAAGTGTTTCTCCACAGTATTATGCTGACTTGTTATCTGGGAATGGTTTATATCCTGAAGCTTAGTTCAGTGATGGTTGTTCTATATACATGGAAAGAAAACATTTTCTTATGAGTTCTCTTCTAGTTTCAGTGGAAAATTTGTCATTTGAAGAAAACATGAAATCATGAAAAATACAGTCCTGCAGTTTCTTCCATGTACATTTATCTTGAGGGGTGTCAGAGAGACTAATTGGAGTCTGTAAATCCCAAGGCTGGTTCGGAAGATAGGATGTAACTGTCCAGACCTGGGGTGGTGGCATGGCAGAATCTTTCAGTGCTGGGGCTTGACTCTGACCAAATAAAAACAAATTTGTCTCCAGTTTATTATTAGCATGAGATTAATATTAGTATGAGCAACCTGAGTGTCTGATTATTAGTTTTACAAACTGTTACAGGAACAGAGTATTTGAAAAGATAATGATAGGAACACTGATCAAGCCCAGAAAAGGCAGAATACATCTTATCATGCGCCTGTGATCCAAGTCCTGACTGCCCACAAAGGAGGACATGAGAGGGTGAGTGCCCATGGGCTGGATAATCCTTCTCTTGGGCTGCAGCAAGGGGCCTCTCTGCTCAGGGTTTCCAGAGCACTGCAGTGTGCTCTGGAGCTCTTAGAGATGATGAAATGAATAACTGGACCTGATCCTGGGTAACCTGCTCTGAGTTTCACTGCCTGAGCACAGAGTTTGGACCAAATGGCTTCCATAAAATTGTAAATCATAGAATGGATTGGTTTGGAAGGGACCTTAGAATTCATCTAGTTCCAACACCCCCTTGCTATGGGAAGAGTTGCCAACCAAGGTTGTCCAAGGCCCCATCCAACCTGGCCTTGAACGCCTCCAGGGATGGAGATTCACAGCTTCTCTGCACAACCTCTTCCAGTGCCTCACCACACACTGAGTGAAAGAATTTCCTCTAACATCTCCCTCCTTTCTTCATTCCAATGATAAGCTCCTTTTAAGTACTGGAATGTCACAATGAGGTCTCCCTAGAGCTTTCTCTTTTCCAGACTGAACAAGAACTGTTTGCCCAGCCTTTCTTCATAGGAGGGGTCCTTCCAACCTCAGCCATTTTGTTGTTCTGTGATGCTGTGGAAAAGAGTGTCCTTCAAAGCTCTGACAGAGCTTGGACAACCTCTTCTTTCTTGTTTAGGGGTTTAGTTCCTCTGTTTAACACCACACACTTCCCAGCTCCTCTCCCACTGGCTCCTGGGGACCCAAAAATGCAGCATATAGAAACATCTCTTAACTGGCAAATTTGTTTCAAGGACACTTATTCTCTCCTGCTGAAGTTGTTCTGTTTCAGACAATGATGATTAAAGACTAATGAGGCTGGAAGGAAAGTATGCAAAACCTGGACAGGTGCGAGGACATTCACTGGGAATAGGTTCCTCTGCCAGTGCCTACCGACACTAAATCACCAAGCAGTGGTTGTCTCTGCTTTGCCTCTCAATGTTTAATTACACCATATGGGGCCTGATAGCTGCAATAGGAGAGAATAAATTCATCCTCCCTCCCTCCTTTCTAGTTGAGTCTTCCAACGTAGACCCATTCTTGAGAAATGGGGCTTGACACTTCCTGTGCTTAGGGCCAAAATGAGCCAAGGTTTCAGCATGGTGCATCTTTGGTGTTGGTGCACAGGGCAGAACAGTGCTGCTCCCTTTGTCCCCATATTTTCAGCGCTCCCTTTGCACAGAAATGGCCCCGATCACCGCTTAAGGCCCACAGTGAGACACTGAGTGTGCCTTGGGACAGGACACAGATGGCCCAAAAACTGAGGCCAGGGTCCCCAGGTGCCATTTAATGGACTCAGTGGTAGGTGCTAACCAGCCAAGAAGATTGAACCATCTGCTTTAGGAACCCAATGTAGTCGCTGTCTGACAGCCAGGTGACTGGGGAGGGAGAGGTTTCCTATTCTCTGCCTTGCCAGAGTGTATGATGATTATTACATTCGTTCACCACGGAGAAAAAAAACACTCAGATTAGAAATACTAACCTCTTAGTTACGAAGACATTAAAATAGCTGTTATTTCTACAGACATATAAAAAAAATATAGAATATGTTCTTGCAACTGTCTCAGGCATTCCTAAAATAACTTTTTTTCTTTTTTTCTTTTTTCTTTTTTCTTTTTTCATTTTTCTTTTTCTTTTATTGTTTTCTGAGAGCAGCATACTACCAGGACATGATGCAGGGAGGTGTACAGGCATTCCTTGGGACTAGCCCACATAATTCATTTGTAGTTCTGACATCCTTGAGTGATGCTCTCTTCCACACTCATGCTGAAAAAACATTCTCTACCATTCCAGTCAGTTATTTGTATCTTGTAGGCAGAACTGCATGCAAGGCTTTCAGTTGCAGTTACAAAGTGTTGTACAGGGCTACCTTACAGGTAACTGTTTTCAACTGACTGGCATGATCTTTGCCTCACACTCATTTTTTGTTTATTTTCATATTGCTTTATTAAGGAAAGATTGAGTGGTCTTTGCCATTTTCTGCAATTGTTTCCATGCTCGTTTTAAAAGCAGGTGATTTGTAGAGCTGTGATGTCTCTGTGGTATTGGGTAAAGATTTAGGATTTGCTACAGCGATAACACCAAGTGCCATTATGAACACTGGAAAACATGAAGCGTTGGCCAGTTCATAAATCCTAAACAGTCACTGTTCATACTGAAGCTGAATTTCTAAGAGATTTTTCCTAAAATATCTGAACTTTTCCTTAGCTCTTGACTTGTCTCCCAGGCTCACATGGGTTGAGCAGGGGAGGGGAGAGAAAAAATGGTGCCGCACCTTTCTGCTTTCCATTGCTGTGGGCTTGTGGGAGATGCATGCTCCAAGGAAACCTGGGACATCCCTTGTGGATTTTCTTTCCAGGGGTTTTGTTTAAGCAAGCAAAAGTTAGAAAACTTTTTTTTTTTTTTTAAAGTATTTGAAGATAACTTATAGTCACAAAGTCAGGTAGGAGGCTACTTGGAAATATTTGATGTGAGGCTGTCTGAAAAATATTAATTCAGTCCATTTGTGCGGCTTGTTTTACTCATCCCCTAAATGCAGTCAGAGAACAGCAAGGGCACAAAATAAGTGAAAAAACATGTCAAGATTAATGATGTTCCTTGGCGTTAGTTTCAAGCCAGGTAAAAATCCATGGCATTCAAATGTAATGACAAGAAGGAATAGAATAAATAATGCCTACAGGGAGTGCATTTGGCTTGCACAGATTGTGTTTACTCTGATATCTCCCAAAGTTCTGTATTTGCATTGGCAGCCCAGCATTCTTCTCATTTTTACTTTTTCTCTGTATGCAGTCTGTATGTACGAAGAGCCCCGATTTTCCACGTTTCCCCTGTTGGTTAACAGATTGGCTTATGGCACTGATCTTCTATGTTACAGGCAAGGGAGGATGTGATCCACATGCTGAAGACAGAGAAAACCAAACCTGAAGTTTTAGAAGCTCACTATGGTTCTGCAGCTCCAGAGAGTGTGCTGAGAGTGCTACACAGGGACGCCATCCTCGCCCAAGAAAAATCTATAGGAGAAGATGTCTACGAGAAACCAATTTCAGAGGTAAAAACTTCTCAGTTTACATCTTCAAGTCTGTGCAGGGGGATTCCTAACCAGAAGGAAAATTGCATGCATTTTGTGTTTATGCAGAACATGACAGAGGATAATATAATGGTGGTAGAAATGACAAGAAATCAAAGGAAAATTGAATATTCTTGTTAACTTAACCTGATAAATAAGGGTAAATAAAATCACAGGGTTTGAACATAAACAGTCTAGATGCTCCTTAGGGCTGGTGCAGGGAAGAGAGAATAAAATCTTTGTGTGTTGCATTTCTTTTTTTAGAAATGCAGAATTACAGAAACATTATGGCCACAAGTTGTATCAGAGGAGGTTTAAGTTAGACATAAGGAAGAACTTTTTTCTCAGAGAGTGGTCAGGCACTGGAATGGCTGCCCAGGGAAGTGGTGAAGTCACCATCCCTGGCAGTGTTCAAGAGGCGTCTGTATGAGGAGCTATGAGATATGGTTTAGGAGCCTGTGGTAGCAATGGTAGCGGGAGAACGGTTGGACTCAATGATCTTGCAGGTTGTTTCCAACCTTGTGATTCTATGATTATTTTTTTTTTCTATGATTTGAGTTGGAAGGGACCCTTAAAGCTCATCTAGTCCAAATCCGTGGCAATGAACGGGGGCGTCTACAGCTACATCAGATTGCCTATAGCCCTGTCCGGCCTGACCTTGGATGTCTCTGGGGACAGGGCATCCACCATGTCTCTAGGCAATTTGTTCAGTACTTCACTGTGCTTATTGTAAAAAATCTTCCTTATATCCACTGTAAATCTCCTTTCTTTTAGTTTGAAGCCGTTTCCCCTTGTCCTATCACAACATACCCTGCTGAAGTGTCTGTCCCCTTCTTTCTTATAGCCCCCTTCAGATACTGAAAGGCTGCTCTCAGCCCTTCTGAGAGCCTTCTCTTCTCCAGGCTGAACAGCCCCAGCTCTCCCAGCCTGTCCTCATAGCAGAAGTGTTTTGTCCCTTGGATCATTTTTGTAGCCCTCCTCTGGATGTGCTCCAACAAATCCGTGTCTCTCCTGTGCTGAGGACTCCGCATCTGGATGCAGTACTCCAGGTGAGGTCTCACCAGTGCAGAGTGGAGAGACAGGATCACCTCCCTCGACCTGCTTTTGATGCAGCTCAGAATATTGTTGGCTTTCTGGGCTGCAAGAGCACACTGGTGACTTATGTCCACGTTGCCATCAATCCACCTGTATCGCCAAGTCCTTTTCTGTGACATAGTAGAGCACTAGCATAGTTCAGAAATGAATACCATCAGAGATGGATTTTGACCATAATTACAGGATCAAAAATCCCTAATCATATCTTGTCTCTTCACCACCAGGGCTATGAAGTTAGTTCAGCCCCTAAAGGAGATCTGCAGGACTTTAAGCCAAGGATTTAAACTCTTGGCTTAAAATCTAATCTGATAAATAAATATATATATAATAAATAAAGCTAGAATAGATCTGGGAATGTTTGAGGCCACTGTGAGTGCCAAAATAAGCAACCACTGGTCATGGTCATAGTTTCATAACAGTCCAGAGCACAGAAAAAGAGCATGCAACAACATGCCATACAACACACTGTAGCATCTGTCCAATTCTTCATAGTTCTTCTGTTCAGAACACACAGTTTTTTCACCAGGAATTGTCTACCCTGGGTGCCTTTATACTATTCACTTTCGTCGTGGTATCTTCTGGGATTTGAAGGGGTGATAATAAGTAAGGAAGGCAAAAATTAGTATTTAAGAGCATGCATGAAATACTGGCTAGGGGACCTCGGTGTACATCAATCTCTGTTGTGTCTAGGCATACAGAGGTTATGTGAGAGCTAAAATAGGGTGGTATAAAAAATTCCTAAGTGCACAAAAGATATCCTGGCTCCTTTATAAAATGCAATCACTTCTTTTTTGACTGTCACATTCAGCTTCTGGAAAGCTGCTTCAGTGCTGCCCTCCAGCTCTCCTATTTCCCCTGGTTTGCAGAGGTACCCTGTGAAACAGCAGCTGCCCAGTGAAGCTGGGGCAGAGGGGGAATCATACAGAAGGTGGGCAGGGCCTGTTCACACTTTTTATCTCAGCAGTTGTACAGGTATAACGTATAACTGTGTTGAAGATGCACAGTTCAAATTTCAGCTTTGAGCTTATACCTTATGCTACTCACTTGGGTGTCTGTCCCCATGGATGCACTTGAGCTCAGGGTTCAGATCCCTCCCAGAGATCTGCTGCTGCTGTTCCTATGTGAAATGAGGAAATTTTGAGCAGCACCTCATCATAGGAGGCATTCTGCACTGCAACAGTATTGTTTGTTACCCTATAACTACAAAAAGTCCTGTTCTTTGTGTACCCAAGAGCTATGCAAATGTTTATTGCAAACACCCTGTCCAAAGAAATCGTTATTTTTATGGGACAATTACTCCTATTTTTAGGCACTGTTTTATGTAAAGCGCAAGACGTAAAATTGTGGGACTCACATTTACCAAACATGACATTGTTTGTTAATAAATCAGATGAAATAAGCAGGAGACCTCTGAAACAGCCTATTCTCCTTTTCTGAATCCAGCTGGACAGGCTTGAAGAAAAGCAGAAGGAGACATATCGACGCATGCTGGAACAGCTCCTTTTGGCAGAAAAATGCCATCGCCGCACAGTTTATGAGCTTGAAAATGAGAAGCATAAACATACAGATTACATGAACAAGAGCGATGACTTTACCAACCTCTTGGAGCAGGAGCGAGAGAGGTGAGTGTCCAAGACAGTGCAAAGCACGCCCTCAATATCCAAACACTTTTAAGTTCAGCAGTGACATGGGTTGGTCCTTTCTGTGTTTAAATGGCGCTAAATTCATGTAGTCCATTTGTAAATGTCACTTCTTTCACGCTAGCGCTACATTATTTTGCAAGTCTAGAGCTGGAAGAGTACCATTGAACATTCTTTCAGTGTGTGCTTGAACTTAAAAATGAATTTGTTTTGTATTATTCATTCCCATTTTGAGTTCATCTCCTGGTAGCTTTTGAGAGATCAGATGTTATTTGTGTTGGCTAAGGTTTGGGCTGGCTTGTTCAGCTGAGCGGCACATTTTGTGAATGGCGGGGCACAGTGTCACAGCAGGAGGACTGGGTAAGGAAAACTACATATTTGGATATTGGCACACTCATGGCAGGGAATTTGCCATGCCTTTCACATTTAGGCTTATAAAGCCACAAACAATTTGCATTATTTTTCATGTTTTTGAAAGAACGTGCCTCAGGCAAGTTCTACATTCCTCTGGAAATAAAAATGTTCATATTTTATGGAACACATTCAGCCTGTGATGAACTGTCTGCAGTTGTATATCTAGCATGCTTGTGTGCTCCATTTTTTTTTGCCTTCAAGTGTTTGTCACTGTAAGTTGTTCTCTTAAGTCACAGAAAAGAAAGGACACCTAACTTAGGGGAAGAATGAGCACTCAGTAACAGCCTGAGTTTTTCAATATGAAATTTCATGCACATACCAAACTGCTTAATATCTAACCACAAAGTTTGGAAGAAAAAAAAACCTCTGAGAAGAATACTTAGAGCGAGTTGAAAGAAGAAATGCTTTTGAGGAAACCACAGTCTGATGGCAGACTATTGCAATAAGCCAGGAGTTGAACTGTTCAGTGGATTTCCTGAGCTCTGCTCAATGCCAGCTATGAGTAGGTGGCACATGAGCTAAAGTGACCGTATTTCCTGGTTTAGTGGCTGTTCTTTTTCTGATTCTTTGATTTCCTGTGTTGATTGGCAAACTTTAAAGGGCAAAAATGTGTCTATATCTTAACAATTTTATTCCCGTAAGATAAAATAAAAAATCTGCTGTCTTTCCAAGTAGTTATTCATATGTAATTCTCTTACGTGACATTTTTTTCACTGCGGTGAGTATCTGTGTATGTGTGGAGATACAGGCAACTAAATTGCTACAAAAGTAAAAGCTGTGTTAAAATACCATTTACGTTTCTCTTTACATTTAAAATTCACTTTAATTTGTCAGTTGTTGCCTTCTTATTATTCCAGTTCCCAAAGACCATTAAGCAGCCTAAGTTATAGACTGTTTGCTTTGAACCAATATCCCTTAATGAATTGATTTAGAACTTTTCTGTCTCACATTATTACTGCAAAGATATCAAGTCCTATCCCCAGGGGCATTTTTTTCATACTCTTACTGCTCTTTTGCGTCTTTTAAACTCCAATTTTCCCACACCCTACTTTTCTTTTTGGAAAAACAGGAATGAAAAGAAGAATTTGAGTTTGAGCTTGTATTGAAAGCAGATCTTCAAGAGCACCCAAGTCCCCCAGCTTTAGTTGCCGTTCCCTCTGTACTGTAGGTGAAGAATTGCAGTGCCTCTGGTTTATGCTGAGTGACAATAGAAACCTGATGTTTGCTATTTAATCCATGTTGTTCAATGCACTAGTTGGGAAAAATCACATTAAGTTTAGTAGTGACCAAGGAGAAAGAAGATGGCATGTGGCAAAATGCGAAAAACCAAGTGTGCACGTTCCTCTCTCCTTAGAGTCCTCCTCTCATGTCCTCCTCCCTCTGTCCCATGTCCACACACCAGGATAGAAAAGCCAGGGAAGATTGGAAACTACTCACTAGTGTGTAGTCTTGAACCACCTCTTCTTCTCACCTTTGCTTGCTAGGTGCACACAGAGTTCAGGATTCCTCTGCATTTTTGTAAGTAATGAAAACTGAAACAGTGTGGCTCTAAGGCTGTACTGCAAAAGACAGTCAGGTGCCTAGCTCTGAGCAATTCATCTTGTAGTCTTTTTTTAATCCAGTTTGTTGACAGCTTATTTTGTTCCTACTAAAAGCACTGAAAAACTCCTCTTGATTTTTAGTGGCAAAGGAAGAGGCCTGTGATCAGGACGGCCTCAGCAATGTTGTGGGACAGCAGAAAGTCTGCAAGCCTTCTGACATCAGGGAAGAGGGAGTTTCTTTTGGAGGCATGGGACATTGCTTGTCACAGCCATAGTGACATGTGGTAACAAAGCCTTGCTGGAACTTACTGAGGGTGCTGTGTGCAACAACTCATTGTGGCCTTCCAGTATTTGAGCTTATAAGTGGAAAAGGCACCATGGTTTTACAGTCTAGTAGTGATAAAACAAGGAGAATGGTTTTAAACTGAAAGAGGAGAAATTTAGGTTAGGTGTTAGGAAGCAATGTTTTACTCAGAGAGCGATGAGACCCTGGCACAACTGCCAAGAGAAGCTATGGATGCCCCATCCTTGGAGGCACTCAAGGCCAGGTGGGATGGGACCCTGGGCAGCCTGAGCTGGTGGAGGTCAGCCCTGCACAAAGGAGAGTGTTGGAACTGGGTAGTCATTAAGATACCTTCCAACCCAAGCCATTCTGTGATTCTATGATTTGATGACTTCCTGCATTGTCCTTGAAACTGCCGAGTCTTCTACTGCATCCCACAATCTGTCAGTAAATGTACACCTGATGTCTAACATTAGCATTGTTTGTATGAATGCATTGATATCACTTATTCACATAAGCAGTGATGATTTTAAGTTCATTCTTGCTTCTCCTGCTGTGGCTTCACGTCTTTCTTTACAACCAAAGTGTCTGCGCTCCCAGTGCACTGAGGCATTCTGCGTTTTCGTCAAAGGCAGAACTGAGAGGACTCGTTCTGTGCTCCCTGAGCAGTGCCCTGCTAAATCTGGTTTTAGTCAAACCCTCTTTTTGAAGTACACAGCCATAATTAGATCTGCTTAGAGGAGACAGCAGGACTATGACCCCAGATCTTTCCTCTACAAAGTTTCCTTTCAGCCTTTGCGTAAAATCATCTCCTCTCTGCCTCCCCCATCACAGCACCCCCAGCAAGGAATGCACTGGCGAGTCCCTCTGCGGTCTGTGATAATACATTCCTCTCAGCTTCAGTCATCCTGGCACCAGGATGCTCTTGGCTGCTCCACTGGTGATGTAATTCTGGGCCCGCATCACCTGCAAAGGAAAGCGATCCGCAAGCAATAAAGCGCACAGCCGTCTTTAAACAAAAAATGGGACTGTTGATGTTAGCAAGTTTTAGAAAATCCTCTTTTGTTTTCCCTTTTTACATTTCTGCTTTTATAGCCCAAGTGTCCCTTCTCCCTTTTCCCACGAGACGGCAGCACCAAGCCTTTCTCCGTGGAGCACTTGGGCATTTTTGCTTCCCTTTATTTACTGGACCCAAGCAAGTAGAGAGGCTGGGGTGTAGAATCACTTGGAGATTTTGTGTGTATTACCTTTCCAGTTTGCATTTTCTCTTGATTTTTATTGAGACTGAAATAACGAAGCTGGCAGAAAAACAACAGAACAGAACATCCATCAGTCAATTACTTGTTTAAAGAAAAATCAAGTCAAAGGTATGAAGTGTTCAAGGCTAATAAATCTGTACAGATTATCAGCTTAAGGCCAAACTCTGTGATAAGAGTAGCCCCATACAGAGATATTAGGGTGAGGTACACAGTGAAAACAGCACAGACTCTAACCTGCAACTGTGCAATCTGTTCCTTTAAAGTCTGGAAATTAATTTTATTTACCAAAAAAATTCTTATTTCAGTGCTATTTTTTTTCTTCCAAGAATTCTTAGCCATGTTCATACTCTGACTAGATTTTCTCATCTGTTGGTTATTTCTCTGTCCTGGTTTCCAAATTGTGACCCAAAAAAAGGGAAAGCCAGCCCAATGGGACTGTGGGAATTCACCACTGCCTACAGTAGTTACTCATCTTACCGCACAGTGCTGGCTGTGGTAAAGCACTGAGTCACTCTCTGTCTACTTTTCAGTAATTGCATTTCTAAACTTTTAATCTTATAAGGTAGGGAAAACAGTTTAATAACAGAGATAAACACTTTTTATTCTTTTCCTTGCAATATATTCTTACGATCACAGATTACAGATCCTGTGGTAGTCTACTAGAAGAAATAAATGAAAAAGAAACTGGCACTGACAAATACCATTTCTACACAGTTAAGTAAATGTGAAGGTCATCCATTTTACAGGTCCTGTTTTACAGCTCTAGCTGACTGCAAGGCAGCAGCTGTTATTCCTTGAGACTTACTCAAAGTTTGTGTTTCGACCAATGAATTTTGTCCCAGGCTCCAGCAAAATGGCTCCAAAGGTAATTTAAAAATGAGAGAACAAACAGCCACATTCAACTGTGAAGAAACAATGGGAAAGTATTTTGAGTCCTACACAATGCAAGGCTTGCCATGAGCTGGGAGTAGTCCAAATCCATCTCTTCACACTTGGATAGTCCTCAAAACTGTCCAGTCTTTCAGTCACTTCTGGAATTATATAAAAAAGCATTATGTGTTGTTTCAGCTATTCTTCCAAAATTATTACTAAGTAGGCACCAGCTTCACAGCCCTTGAGAGAGAATTATTATACAAAACTATATGTAGTTCATTATTGCTAGCAAGTTTGCTTGCTAAAAGCATCGATTCAAATGCTCTCAGGGTCAGACGGGGGGAGGGGAGAAATTACTTCACTCAAAATCTGCTCATGGACCCGAACACTGTCCAGGGTGCAATAGGTAACAGTTTCAACATTTAAGGGGCCTTTGGCATTTTTCAGAGTTATACTGCTGAAATAAATATCAGCTCACAGCTCCATTGAGGCCATCTTTTTAGGTTGTTATTTTTTTAGGCAAAGAAAACAAAATCTGAATTAGGGTCATGTTAGGAAAATTGCTTCCTCATTCAGAGATATTAGAAACAGATTTCAGTGGACATGCTAAGT